CGATTGCTCGCCGAATAAAGGATCGAGTAGTTTCGATTGTTGTTCGAAAGCCGTCTGAAAACCGTACGCCAGATTTCTCCGGCACATTCTCTCTCTCTCTCTCTCCCCGTCTCTGTCTCTTTCCCTCTCGACGAGTTCTTGAAGCGATGGTGGAGGAAGGGTTGGCCAGTAGATCGACCTTGGGGGCTCCGTCCTTTACGTGTACGCGCCGCGCGTGTGTCGCGTGTCTTATTTATATGCACGTACGTACACACGTGCGCCTAAGTCGTGCGTGCGCTATGCACCTACACCTATGCCTCCGAATGCACGTGTAGAGCACGCCGTGAAGCACACCAGCGCGCGCGCGGACGCTTGAGCACACAGGCAATACCGAGGGCATAGTTACACGGCTATTCCAGCGAGGAATGCTCGGCATGTCGCTCTCGTCAAATGGCCAGAAAATAAAAGGACTACCTCGCCCCGCGGCCTTGATAAAACTCTCCTAGTGTGTGGACACAAGATCCTCTCGCCGGTTATCCGTGAGTTATCATTCGAAAGTCATCCCGGAGGATTAATTGCGACGCTGCTTACTTGTGGAAGTAGCCGAAATCGCAGATGATGGAAGAACGAGTTTGTCCCGTGCATCTCACTTTACATCGTGATGTACGAGGGGTTTCTCTAATTCAGCTCATAGATTAATAGAGTGTAGAGGAGAACGGCCGGTTTTAATCGGTCGAATTTCCCGAATCTCGTCAAAGGTCGACAACTAATTGCACACAATTGCGCGTGTGCCTTGGTCGCTGCGAGTGCACTTTAGAGACTTCCCGACTCCCTGTGTATATTTCAACGGCGAATAAGACGTTTAATTCGCGAATCTGACGTCCAGTTTTTTATCCCGCCATAAAGCGGCATTAAGGAATACCCGCCGTTAAAATCCGACAATGTCGCCGGCCAATTTAGGCTATCGAAGTAACGTTACACACCGGACCGGTCCTCGAAGCATTTTTTATCACCACCCAATTCTCCATATTACGAGCATGAACTCCTGTATTTCTTAATGTCATCGGACTCTCGGGCCGCGTACGACAGCATCCGTTCGTCAAGCGGCATCGTTAAACGCGCCCCCGGCGTTACATGTCATTACGTTATGACTATAATGCAATTAGTTGCGCTAATTGCGTACGTTAGGACATTACTGCGATCGTGATCAAGGCTCGGAAGTTACCGTCTCTGACGGCCAGCCTACTCGAGCCTATGCCGGCGGGTTCAAAAACGGCGAGCAGCAGCGCCGGACTACCGTAGAGAGTCGGACACTCACCGAGTGAGACATTGTCATCGCGTGCAACACCGGCGGATCTAAACTTCCTGAGACTGAAACTAACACTTATCTCGAGACTTTCTCCCATTTAGATCAGTTGTTGGAACACTGAAAATAAAGTTATTAACAATTATACGTTTGTCTTTATATATAGTTTGCGATAATTGTACAAAATATGATTATTACAATAGACAAAAATTCAACGTAACTATATCGAAGGTACCATTATTTGTAGGGTCCACGTCATTTACAAATCCTGTAATTGGTATGTTATGACATTTGCTAATTTTATTTACTTACACTTTTTGAAGATCATTCTCTTCAATTATTTTGCGTGTCAAGAATGTGTAACCTTTCCTCAGGCGACCCTTCCGGAACTCCTCACATCTTTGCGGTTCAAAACTGAAGTTACGTAAGTCTCATCTCAGGTCCGCCGCTGCGTGACAGTACGTTCGCCGACCTCTCGGTGAGATCTCCGTTTCACGATGGATCGCTGATCGGCCGATCAGCTTGGTTCCTCGACGATTCTCGAGAGTTCGCTCGCTTTTATTTATAAATCTTACTTTACTCATCTGCATACTGCAAAAATCGTAGAAATTCAAGGTAGGATATGTTGATCGCACGCTCTAGACCCGCATCGGATCGTCCACATGCGTAATGGTCGCGGAGCCCAGAATCCTCTCGGTACACGTTAACAATACCTAGGAAGCGGAGCGAGTTACGACTCGGTAGCCACGGAGCGCGAGAATGTTTTACGAGCATCCGGGGCGCGTCACGCTTTACGTGTACGCGTCACACTTTGTCTCAAATTGCATTCACTGTACCGACGTACATGTCGATTCTCGCCGAATCGGAAAACCTCCGTTCTATAAAATGAAAATACCGTCTTGAGGCAAAAGAAGAAATGAAGCGAAAAATCAAGACGCCGAGTGCTCTGCTCAAAAATTGAGAGAAAGTCCGCAATTGAACAAATTGTTTCATTACATGTTTGGTTTTATATTTCAAGCGGAATATTTTGTTTCTCATTCGCGTCTACACGAAATCGCCAGCCTCAATCGACTTGTCATTTCGCAGTTTCACTGAGAGTTATGCGAGCTTATAGAGAATAAGTATAGCGAATTTTCCAATCTGCAAATTTTGTTTTTCCGGAAGCAAAATTTCCCGTCAAGAAGTAACAAATAATTGATTTCTACAATTTTTAGTCGTTATTTTATATAGATTAATCGTCTCTCTCTCTCTCTCTTTCTCTCTTCATAACAGATATTAACAAACTTAAATTTTTTAGTGATTATTTGACCCAAACAATGGTTCTCTTGTGCAATAGTAATTGACTGAAAATACACCTACCGTCTTGATATAATTTGCGCAAAGTGCACTACCAGTCTGCACCTTCGTGCGCTTAATTGCGCAATTACTGCAGAAGTACAAGTTTTAAGGAGAAACGAAGTCGCTACGAGCGTTTTGTCTTTATTGTTTCTTGCGAGATACGCTCAACACACTATTTTGCAACTGAATTATTTGTAATTGGAAGGGAAACGTTTGCCAAGCGTTGCGAAAGAGACTTTGAATGGTTCGTATAGTTGCAGTTCCAGATTCAGGTTATTAGATATGCACAGAAGAGAATTGTCACGCACATATACACGTTTCTCTGTTCCATTTTAAATCAACTAAAATACTTCAAAATTTTCGACGTATGATTCTAATTCGATTATTAAGAATCAATTCGGTGCAAGCTTTCAAGTCTACTCGGCAAATACGTGCAGTCTTTCACGTAGGCCCGATAATTTTCCTCTCTGAACTCTCATCGAGTCCTATTCTTGGCCACGCACCTGATTAAGTCCGGATATTCGATTTACGTGGGTTGGATCCACGAAAAGTGAAAAGCGACGGCAGAAAGGCGTAGCCGTGTTGGAAAGGAGTTAAGAGGTGGCGGCACACATATTTCGCATCGGAGAAAGTCGCACGTACTCCTCCCCCTACCTTTTTTCCCTTCCTTTTTCTCGTCGTTGCCCCTCTCACCCTCTAGTTAGTTATGCGCACTTACATAGGTACGTATAATCATTACCATGCATTAACGTCTTACGTAATGCTTGCTGCAGCTTTATTAAACATATGACGGGCTATTATACAGGCTTAAGAAACCGATGTGAACTTAGCGCCTGATTTTGAGGAAAAATAATTTCCTCGATGGATAAAACCGTATAAGAGAGTTAGTAAGCAGCCGGCGATTGAATGGAGATATTTTGAATTCCTTAATGCCGTTTAATCTCCTTTCATATCTGCTTTCGAATCACTTGTACCTTAAAGAGTTCGATACTACGGCATCTTTAAGACGTATCAAAGGAGTAACTGTCATTTCTCGAGATATCTTAAAACGCGGTGGGCGGTAAAGGAGAAAACAACGTTTATATATATATATATATATATATTGACGGAATTTCTATTGAATAATTTTCGGGTCATTCTGTTTCGTAAAGTATGACGCGAAGATTACGGTGTATTTAGCGGGGCCAACACGCGGCTAATATTCTTTTGAATGCCACGGAAGCAACGGATCGATTTAATCCGTGTTTGTGCGCGTCGATATACTGGGTAGTTGAACAAAATCTTATTCTGAAAATTTACTAGGACAATACTCGGCTCTTTCGGTGTATCGCGCGAAATGGAAATTGATTATCGAAGCGCATGATCGAGATAATGTTCAGAATGATTCGCTTACCTGGTACTACTCAATGTATCTCGAGCCCATCACTACGTGTCAGTGTCATCGGTACGGAAAACCGTGAGTTAGACGATGTGGATGACGTGCGGCCTCCTATCCTAGAAGTACCGTTGCGACGAACGACGGTGATGCTGGATACCTCGTACCGCCTCGTTCGAACGTACGAATACATAAATCCAGCGATGTCGATATTGAATATGATGCATAGTTATTATCTTATTTAATTAATGTATATTAGATGGTATTAAGTGGGACAAATATTTTGAACGTCTGAACTCTAGAAGTCTACACGCAAATTGCAAGATACTAAATTAATTCCTTCCTTTTTCTTTAAATTTAATTCCACATAAATTATTTCACAATATAGAATGTAATTTAAAATATATTTGCAATTAGTAATTCACTACGTAGACTACATTTGCAACGTTAATCTAGCTAGTAACAATTGTAGTTAGTGAATTTTTGCATCCGATTGGTATATTCTTTTAATTAACGTGCGTTTATATCTTACGCATCTATAAAACATGTGCGCAATCTTATTACACGTAGTTATGTCTATTATTCCTTATCAAGTTATTAGATCGTGTTAGAATCAGGTGCACTGCAAAGTGAAAAGAAATGACCTCGAGTCAACGGTAGTCGTCGTTATAGATTCCCACAAAGTCCATTCACTCGTCAAGATTTACCGTTTCACTTTTATAACTGGATAAATCATGGTATTGCAGTTATTTCATCTTTAAATTCTACACGATGATGCTTTTCTGAACGCGCAGGAAATATATCAAAGTAATATTTATTACTCGGACATATACGAAATCCAGTATAATTATAATACAAATATTATTATCGAAACGATTGACTCACTGATAAATTTGTTTTTCATTTTTATTTCTTAGGAAAGACGGCAAATAAATTATCATCCGACATCAATTAAATTAATTCTAATTATCAATATACTGACTTTTGCGCAATTTTTTATAGATATGCGCTGGTTTCGCGGCCACGCTGAGGCACCGAGACTTTTGCGCCTGAGTCCTCTTCGAGCTGATGAAGATGTTAACGAAGCATCTTATCAATTTCGCACGGCGTCTCGAGGTAGAGGTAAGAATCACTTCGCTCGTAAAGATTACGCATGTTTGCACTAAAAATAGAATTTACCGTTATTTGTTTAAAATTATTTGTGACATCCGATAGCATTTTATTGTTCATTTTATAATTCCAATTTTCCAATTCGAAGTTATCAAAAAATTACACATTAAATCCTGGATATACAATTTGATTTACTTTAAGATTCGGTCGTTTTTCTCTTTCTATTTTATTCGAGCAAAGTGCAATTTGAGCAAAGTTTAATCGAATAAATTTATTCGATTTTGTATTTCGATAAACGTTTATTCGAATGATGCTCCGTTCTGCTGTGCACACAGCTTTAACGCTCCAAAAATTGTAAATAGATGAAATCTTGGCCGAAGAAAATACGAAGAATTTAATCCTCATGAAAACGCAATGCAAGGATTACGACTCAATGTTCCGTCAAACTCGAGTCCCGAGTGACTCACTAAAAAGAAAGAGAATAGAAGTAAATTGACACCATCGGCCTACGCGTTAATGTAAGGGATCATTGTTGGCATTGAAGGCGATTCGTAGCTTGCCAATATGACAGTACGCTAGAAGATACGATAATGTAATTGACAGCGACTGCGACAGTAATGACACGACGAATCAGCTCTTGCTAATCTTATAGTAACTGCTAATCGAAACAGTAGCCGGCCGACGAGTTTATGGGTCCTTTCTCTCTTTAGCATCAAAATGTCAAAGGCGACGTACTTGAAGTTATATTAATATTAATATAGTAGAATAAAGTACATAGCTCTCTCTCTCTCTCTCTCTCTCTCTCACTCACTCACTCAGTTTACGACGTTTCCTTTTGACTAAATAATCTGCGTTAGAATCTCAAATTTTATTTCTGGATGTTAGACCGTTAATTAATATGCTTTTATCTGCACGATTGTTCTATCTAACCGCACAATTGTCGCGGTAAGAATTGACGTTGTATGTTAGTCAGCAGACTTCTGAGGAAAGTACTATATGTGCATAAGATAACGTAATCGCGCGGTTTTAACGTCAGACACAGTTTAAAGAACGATAGTTACACAACGCAAGCATCCCATCTATGTTTACGGTACTCGGTTAAACATTCTATAAAAAAATGTACGCGCGAAATTTATGTGCCACCTGTCTTACACTTTATAGTCCTACGCATTTTGAAAATATAAGCTGATATTCATTTCTTTAATTTTCAATTGTAAAAGTCAATGGCTCGGAAAATTTTTATTCATTTAATATTTTCATTTATCTCTATCATTTTGTAATATTCCTATGTATCCCGTTTGTGTTGTTTTCTAGGAGTTTATTTGAAATTCATAGTTTTATCGTGTATGCAAATACGCAGTCATAACTGTGTTTCGACTCTAACTGGCTCGTCTTCTTTTTTTGTAATTTCGTGTCATAGAACCGTGTCATGTTTTTCTTAATCTTACTTATTAATGGCTAAGTGAATGATTAGACGGATCACGGTGCGTGATGACGAACTAATTTAAGATGAGGAAATCTCGCATACTCACGTTGCAAATTGAAAAGAGGTAGAGTTAGTGGCTAGACGGTGGATGTTATTAAGGGTTACATTATTTCGATTGCTGTCAAAGTTTCTTTTAATTTAAATTATAGTTTATAGCACCGAAGAATAAAAGATCAGTACCTGCGTAACTTCCGACATATTTCTCTATACGTTTTATAACAACAAAACTATATGTGCTCTTACATTCCTCACCCAACAGTTACAAATCCCGTTCTTTTATTATTCTTTCCTTCTTGACCAACAAAGACTAGTTTGATTAATTGATGTTACTATGAAAAACTGCATAATTTCATCATTTCTTCAATTCATTTAAGAAATTCATCATAAATCTTTCCAATTCTCAACTTAACACGCAAAGCATTATCATTTACTCCATTTCTCGCTCGAGAGATTTTACGTCACTATGTGGCGTTTTCATTATCTAGAGAATGCTACAAACTATAAGTGACATAAATTAGTCATAAGGACATCCTGTTTCACACGTCCTGCCTGAGACGTCAAGCATAGCATCATTCTTTGCGTAATTATCAATTCGACGAAGTGTTAGTCGCCGAATTGTTAACCGACAGATTCGTCAGTTTAGTGGGGGCCGTCACGAGCGGCACTGAAAGGCAAGCATCACTTTCGATTTAAGAGTCGTAGAGTTCAGATCTGACTTGTGTTGCACACTTGTAGAAAGTGAACAGGAATGAAATTAACCGATTTCATTTATTCCGCTATTCGTTTAAAATTCTGTGAGTGGACTTCCAACAGATGCAAAATTCATAGTTTTTAATTAGATTAGACTTCACCGTATAAAATATTTTATATATGTGAAAACGAAATTCATTAACACTTTTCTCGACCTACAGACACGTCGCCGGTGCGATGGGTCCGTAGGAAATCCTCGAGTTCCGAGTCCGAGAGGAACTGTTACAACGTGCAGACCTCCCAAGTGACAACCGAGCGGACGACCAACAAGAAAGACAAGAAGAAAATCCAGGACAAGCGACGGAGAGTGTGCGAGAAGCGAAACCCTCTGCTGGACCGTGTGAAGAGCACCAGATTGAGCTTCTTCAAGGACCGGGACTCGGAGGACGAGGACGAGAACGAAGAGGGCGAGAACGACGAGGCGGAGCGCGTTCAAATCCGTTCGATGTGCGAGCTGAGGCATCGCGGTCTAATCAGAAATGAGTTCCGGCGATCCATCTGCGAGTCCGACCTCCTGCAGGATAATATCACGGAGGAGAGCAAGAAGAGTCACGCGAAGAGGAAACGACGCGCCAAGTCGCAGAGCAGGTTGCCGTACAAAAAGCATCAGGAAGAGCGGTTCTCCTTTTTAGGCTTTCGTACCTCGACGCCTCGAAAGGCGCGGCCTTCTGAATGGTCGAAGGAGGACTCGGTTCATCAGGAGGACGCGATGCCTTATGACTATCGGTGGGAGAGGGGCAGCAAGTACTTCCTCCAAGACAGCCGTAGTCACGAGCATCATCGGTCCGTCGATCACCAAATAGAGGAGACACCGCAGACAGCTGACACGATCCTGAAGAAAGACACGCAGTTCGACAGTATCACGCCGTCCAGCTGCCTGGCGGCGAAATTCCGCGCGATGCAGGACAGATACCTGAAGAGCTCGACGAGCAAGCTGATCGCCAAGATCTACAGGAAAGACTGCAAGGACCAACGAGAGAGACGAAGACTGCGTAGCTTCTCGTACGGCACGCTGCCGGGTCTCGAGGAGCTGCGGACGAACCCGCTCTACGAGAATCACCTGGAGCAGGACGACAACGACTCCGGCATCCTGGACAACGATTCCGCCACCAGCTCGCTCCTCGACGACAGATGCAGCAGTGGTGCTTCCGGACCGCTCAATGGCAGCGGTAGCCACCACAACGACTCTTGTCTAGGCTCGCCTCCTCAGCTCCCGCCCAGAAGACCCTTCTCGGCCGCTGTGGTGGACGTCGACCGAGCCGCGCGACTCTTCTCCAGTTTGGACATGTATCACGACGAGGTGAAAGACTTCGTCACCGAAACGAGCCTCATCGACGAGTACCCGAGCATCTGCCAAGCGGCGAACGGCACGCTGATAGATCAACGTCAGGTCAGCTCCGCGGAAAAGAACAACGCGGATCCAGGGAGAAAAGAGAGAAACAGGGACGACGATTCTAACCGGATGCGAAGTGGCGTTGGCTTGCAGGCGATCAAAAGCAAGACCTGCGTGACGGAAACGATGGTCGTGAAGTTACCCAAGGAGACGTCCGACCAGTGTCTGGGGATCTTCATAGCGAAAACCGCGGAATCCAGTCCGGGTTACTTAGTGGCTCACGTGGTGCCGAACGGACTGGCCGACAAGGAAGGCACCTTGAGGATCGGCGACGAGATCCTCATCGTCAATGGGAAGAGACTGCGAGGCCTGTGCATGGCGGAGGCCAGGAGGATCCTGGGTAACGGTAGCGGGCCCGGTGATGTCGACATTGTAGTCTCCAGATTTTCGGACGTCGAGCAACGTGCGAAACGGTTGAAGGAGAGCAGCGTGGATTACGAGAACGTCAACATGGAGGACGGTCATGGGACTATCGTCGAGACTTCACCCGGCTCGCACTTCAGGAAGCGTCAGACGGCGAAGAGCCAGCGGGACAGGAAAGACGAATCGAACAGGTCGACCTCGTCGGAGAAATTCGCGACGAGCATCGACTGCGGGCTGGCGCGCAGCGTCTCCAAGTTCTGCACTCTTCCCAGAAGACCGAGGAACACCGTGTCCACGTTCCTCACAGTGGTCTTCGAGAAGGGTGCCGGCAAAAAGTCCTTGGGATTTACCATTGTTGGAGGAAGGGACAGTCCGAAAGGAAGCATCGGTAATTTTCGATATTATCGGGTTATACATTTCGGCTGCATCGCAGATATTCGGTGTATTTTTCGATTCTATTTTCCGTATCTTCCAATCTGTCGCAGGTATCTTCATAAAGTCGGTACTGCCTGGTGGACAGGCCGCCGAAGATGGCCGTTTGCGCGCAGGGGATGAAATCTTGGCTCTGAATGGCCACGTTTGCCACGACTTGACGCACCGAGAAGCCGTACAACTTTTCCGCAACATCAAAAATGGGCCAATTGCTTTACATCTGTGCAGACGCGTGAAAAACCGTGAAACACAGTAAGTTCATTTATTTCATTCAACATTTAATAATATAGATGAATTTTTAGAAAGGATAAAAAAAAGGTTAGAAATGACACTCAAAGGAAAAAGACATAAATTATATATTCGCATATTGTTTATTTGAATTCGCTTATATGTTCCTTCTAAAACTGTTTTGTTTTCTGCCTTTTTTTTTTTTGTTTTAGAGCACCGAAAGCCAAGTCGTGTGCAGATCTTTTGCTCATAGACACGTGAAAGTGTCATTTGTTGAAGACAAATAGAATGCGTTACAACAAATCATGTATAAATATGAATCATGTATATAGTGTACATTGTCGAAACTCGCTAGAAATAAAACAATTATTTAATAACAATTACCTAATTAATATTAATGTGATATATGGTACTATTCCGTACCCTCGAAATATAATACATCCTCCTTATTATCCGTTACAATTGAGAAAATGCATACAATGGATTCCACTTCGTAACATATTATTCGTATGAAATCTTAATTTAAAGATACGTGGTAATAATAAGAGTTACAATACCAATTATAAATACTGCAGAGTGGCACGCGAGAAAATAACCCGGACCCGGATAAAGTGTTTCATTAGTAATAAAAGAGTAGCAACGAAATGCTGCACATACACGGGCGCTGTTTACGCAACACCTAATAAGAGGCAAAGCTATTTTTCGCGTGCGCCATTATCTCTGTATTACAATAATAATAACCAATACGAGCTTAATTAACTAGGCAGTTGCGATACCGCGCGAAATAAATTACGAGAGAGAAAGAAAAAAAGAAATACATGTCGAGAGTCACTGATTTCTTCTGACAGACTAGAATCCTAAAACGCCGTTTGCCGTGACCGATAATTAGATCTACATCTAAGGAGCACTTCCGGTGGGTAGTTTCCTCCTCGTTAATACTCTCTAGTACGGCGCACTCTTCAAGGTACTTCTAGGATATCTATAACAATAATTCCTCATTAATTTCGCCATTCTACAAATGAGCGTTTATGAATTATTAATTTTACCTATGTCTCCTCATAATTTCTAACTCGACGATGCCTTCCCTCACCGTCTTAAACAATTCAATGACTTCCTGATGCGTGCGTCCCTTCAAGATTTTTCCATTTAAACTTAAGATTTCGTCACCTGAAAGTAAAAAAAAAAGTATTATTTTACTACAAAACCTTTGAGTACACTGCAAATGAATCGAGACATAAATTTAGCGGAATTTTATTCTATGACATTGAATAAGAGAAATCACGATTTATAATGAACAAAGAGAATATTTTCTCTCATATCCTGCTTCTAATGGGATAATTTTACATAAAAGGAAGCATGATACAAGGATATATATGATAATGAAACATTCTGTCACAGGATTTCTCATTTGTGGTGTATCCGGCAAATAAATGCATGGCAAGATTTTTTTTCCTAATGCAGAATTATTTCACAGGATAATTAACAAAGGGATACGCAAGTGCTTATTATATTATTTCATGCGATATAAAATTTTATCTAAACTTCGTTCACACATCGCGGTCAGGCTTCGAGTAAACACAAATTTAAAATAAACTTCCCAAGTTCCATGGTAATAAATATAAATGAGAAGATCATTCACGAGATTGAAATAAATCAATCACGAGAAGATTTTCCAACGAAGATGTTCTTCGGACGCTGTCTGTGCTCCTGCGCTTACACAAGTCGAGTAACTACCAGACCGTTACTCAAGTATGCGGTAAGGGAGCGAACGTCAACGAGGAAACCGTGCGATCCGGGCATTTCGTAAAAACTGACGTGCTTGGTTGAAATTCGAGACGTGAGAGCGCGAAACGTACAGTCGAAGGACCAACCGGTATATCGGCATGTTGATTTTCCATGTCAACAGATAGTATATTTGATCGCTCAGCGAATTCTAATATCTGTGATAAAAACGTGTTATATGGATTGTAATAAATAATGTTTCGAATGTCTTGAATGAAAGAAAGTTTGGAGAAATAGAGAAAGTTTCTCCACTCTAGATTGAATTTTTTCCTTTATCCTGCAAATTAAAATACTTTCATAACAAATTCCAACGAATCTATTCGTTATATAAGAAAAACTATGTAGTTAATTAGCATACATAATTGATCTATACCATGTAACTAAGTGAAGGAACGGCAATATTAACCATACACAAGTAGATTTATACCATAATTATCATTAGCTTAAAGATAATGAGGAAATAAAAATTATATATTATATTTATTCTCGGTGTCTATGTATATATATAATTAAATCGAATATAATAATTTGAAATTGAAAGGAAAATTTAGCTTTTAATACAAAATTTTGAATAATATTAACTTTATATTATTAAGTTACAAGCAACTCGAAGAAACTCTGTCTACACGTTAAATTTCGTAAAAACTATAACACTTTTAATATGATGATTTAATATGATATCGTCAAATCTACCGTTATCTTCTATATATACTTTGTCAAGAAAGAAAATCTCGTATCCCATTACAATGTTCGGCAAACATTTAGTCACAGCGCCTATGAGAATCTGCATCGGAAAAGTTGAACAACTAAATTCTTCAAGTGTTACGAGAAAGACTCCAGGAAACGGTTCATTTATGCGAACACCGTTGTCACCGATGACGACACGATACATCACCGTCGTTCGATGAAAAGAAGGGGAGAAACACAGGAGAAAAACGGTAGAACGCACCACGATTGTTTAGATATGCAAGCGGCGTTAGCTGTCGGATTAAAGATTCGACAGCTGTCTGGCGGGATCCTCGCCTCGCCGTTGTGAATACGCGAGGACTGGTGAAGGCCTGGCGAGGTCGTCCATCGAACGTGCATTCAACGCATCGTTTCGCCAGTTTTCTTACTCTGCGATTGATAGTTTCGGAGCGAAAAATATTTGAATCCATCGAAGTGGTTGATGAGCGTTCGACTCATTGTCCCGGAAGCTCAAGCATCACAATTTTATAAAAATTGCGAATATTAATCGAAACATGAATATTATTCAAAAATTTGAAAATATTCTTAAGATTTCCGGAACATTTAAGACTTTCAAAACTCTCGATATATTCAAGATACCCAGAATACTCGCAACCTTCGAAATTGTCAAGAATTCCTGAGTTGGAGCAATATTCGAAACGGTTTGAAGCAATCTTCATAAATGCTAATCGACCCGATGTGTCTTAAGATCATAATTAGCTCATCAAAGCCAGCATCCTTTTGGAAGTAAATTCAAATCCACTTGAATCCAATCGAAGGCTTTTCGATCGATTCAATGAAATGATTTTGAATGACATTTAAACGAGCGCCAATTAAGCTAATAGGCACTTCTTTGATCTTTTTATCCGGATTACGGTACGAGAAGCAATCCAATAAATACAACTAAATACACAAATTCAATGTATCGATTAGAAAAAAAAAACCCCGACTTCCTGTAATGTGTACACCTCGATGAGAAAAAGATTGAAAAATAAAGTTTACCTTGGAACAACGATCTAGAAATATCAGCCTGGCCACCGGGAAAGACTCTTCGGACGAAGATTCCCATGTCACCTCTCGGGCTGTCCCGGCCACCTACGACACTGAAGCCCAGACTAGGCTTGCCGTAACCCTTTTCGAACCTAGCCACGTGTTTCGTCAGGTAATGCTGCGATTCCGTTGTGGCCTCCTCGGGATTGCTATCTTTTTGATTTTGAGATAAACGTGAGAGCGGCAGGTAGTTAGGCCTTTTTCTCAGCTGAACGGACTCGACTCGCTCTCCGCTGTCGGCGGGCTTCCTCTCAATGGACGAAGCGTGACTCATTTCGACGTCGATCAGCGACATATTGGAGAGATTTTTCGCGTTTTCTATATATTCATATTCACTGGATAAGGTGAGCGGCGGATTGTCCTCGTACATCTGCGGCACCGTCTCCTCGTAAGCCGTGGTCAAACGTATGGTATTACCGCTGAAGGATTTCAGAAACTCCTGAACCTCCTCAAGGCTCTCCAGCGTCTTTAGCTCCTTACCCTCGACCTCGACGATCTCATCTCCCAACCTCAGTCTGCCGTCCCTGCAACGGAAACATCTCTTCCAGGTTCTTTTTTCTAAAAGTCACTTTCTAAACGTCACTTTCTAAAAGTAACAGAAAACGAAATTGCAACTAAAATTAAATAGTAAAAGCTAAGTGAAATGAAGAGCGATGAGACGGGAAGAAGGAAAGGAAAACGAAATTGGCCTCATTCCCGATTAAACGTCTCACCTGTGAGCGATGCCGTCGCTTTCCAATTGCACGATGATATACCGCGGGTCTCCCAGTCTCTGCTGCGCCAGTCGGATCCCCAGGCTCTCCTTGGGCTCTCTCTTGTGTAACTGTATCACACAACATCGACGCACCCTCTTCAACGGCTGAATGATGTCGCTTAGGAACCTCGTTTTATCCTGCTGTAGCCTCATGCGATGAGGCGACACGTCCAGTATCTTCGAGGCGCCTGACAGGAAATGCAACTTATCATCGCAACCGGGTAACCGAGGGTTCTCCAACTCGGCGACAGTCAGGTCCTCGTCGAAGGTCCCGTGGATGCTGGGCAACATTCTGCCGGAGCCGCTCCGGTACCACCCGAGGCCGTCGATTCCGTCGATGTTCATCAAGGACACCGCGTCCGTTCGATTGTCGTCGATCGCGTCGGAACTCCGCCGGATCGTCTTGCCGACGTCCCGAACATCTCGAGCGTCCTGACACTCGCTGGGCGTCGAGCTCCTTATGGGTTTCTCCGCTTCCGAGTCGATGACGCTGCTGGTGTCGGAACTGCACTTCAGACTCGAGCCCTCGTTCTCCGAGACGGCGACGAATTCGCCGCGAGGCCCGTCGCTGTCGTAGCCGGACTCGTTCGAGCTCACGTAGTGCGACGACAGCCGCTGCTCGCAGCTGGACGATGCGGAATTCCGTCGATTGTTCCTGATAGCGGTCATCACGTCGAGATCGGTCGCGCCGTAATTGTCCGGCGTCCCGGGCTCGATCCTCGATGAGGCGAAGTTCATCTTCTCCTGAACGGACTCGCCGGCGATCTGGAACTCGGTATTCTCTCGAAGCGACAGCAGACTGTTATCAAACAGGCTGTAACAGCCTGCCGCGGTGTTCTTCTGCTGAAAGCCGTTCGACTCCAATCGTTCGAGCCGACCGGCGTACCTGTCGGTCTCGTATCCGCTGGAATTACGCCGGAAGTCCGTGTAGGAAGCGCGCCTCAGCCCCGAGGCGCTCTCCTGATCCCTCGCGGGATTAGCATGGCCGGTCCCGTTTCCGATTCTCGATCTCCTTCGGCCGAGAGTGGTGGTACCGGTGTAGGGGTCCTCGATCTTCAGCGTCGGGAAGTGCTCCTCCGAGGCCGTCTTGAAGAGCCTCTCATCCTTGGCTACTAATGATCCGTGACGTTCCTCGGGCAACACGGAGAGCTTCGATCGCAGGAAAGCGTACGGGAAGCTGGACTTCCTCGCCTCCTTCAAGTCGCAGCTGCTGCTCTTCCTCATGCACGACGACGGCTCGTCGTCCTCTGATCGCCCGAGGTCGTAAGTGCTGAAACTCACCGAAGGACTTCCCAGGGAGTTGGAGCCGGCGGAATCGCGTCTCGCGCGAGCCTCGAAGATTTCTTGCTCGTTGCCTCGGTGTCCGGATGCCAGGTTGTCGCAGGAAACTGTCTTGTCCTTTCGCGCTGATATCTGCAGGTCTATTCCTTCGGAGGGATCATCGCCCTTCACGTAGGTCGGACTGTTGTTCAGCTGGCTGGTACTACAGCTCCTGAACAAGCTCTCCTTATCCAGTATCTTCAGTCTTTCCTCGATATTTTGGGATCTTCTGTTGGTTTTGGCCGAATTGAGCATCCCGGTGGAACCCATTCGAATGAAGAACGACTTGAAAGGCGACGGAGATCGCTGACAAGCACCCGGCAATTTTCTACTTAATTTCTCGTCCAGATGCAGCTTGCTCAATTGCTGGACGTTGATGTCGTTGTTATTATTATTATTGGTGTTGCTGTCGTTGTTGTTGATATTAGTGTTTTTATTGTTATTATTGGCGCCACTGCGGTCAACTTTCTCGGGTCTTTCCGTGACGAAGCAAACGGTCTCGCGAGATCTGCCCTGCCGAAACGAATCGATCTTTTTGCTCATCCGACGACCCCAAATTCCTAGACCTGACGCTGCGAAAAAAGAATGATAAAAAAATCATGTATTAATGGGATTATCAGGATTACCTAACATACATATTATAAAAAACGTATTGATCAAAGAGTCTATCATCAAAATTAGAATCATGATTTATGGCGCTTTAATATATAAATGATATAATATTACACGATAAATATTAATATGATACAATATGATATAATGCAATATAATATAAATAATATATTTATATAACTGATCACCGATTGTTACCAAGTATAATTATCGCTATTATTTGTTTCAAATTATTCGAAGACGTTCTCGAATTTGACTTTCATTGTCCTTCCAACTTTATAATTATCGACTTAAAAATATAAACACTATCAATAACGTTTGGCTCCTTTTCGTTTATATAATAATAATAACGTCCCTATTATATTCGCTGACAAGTAAAAAGCCGTTATTCAATAATTATTGAGATACAAAAAGGAAATGGGGAGCCGCTCGAATCGTATCCCGGTCCTCAATGGGAACGGGCGAAAGATGCAAGAAGTAAGGAGTAAGACATTGAAACGGTAGCGTGCCAGCACGTGGAACTAAAAACCTACTCGATGAATAACCACTCCCGCGTTCGACATATGGTCGTTCTCAGGAGGGACGTCGCGGCTATCTGCCACCATATACGAGCTCGAGGCCGCGGTTCCGCGTAGTTTGGGACTACTTTTTCGAGGTGTCATCCCGGCTAACGGGCCTGAGCCACCGACACATCAGTTCTACATAACGAGAAACGATTAAAAGGCTGCTCGAGTATCGGGCACACGTGTTTTGCGATCGAGCGCGGTACGGTACGATGCGCGAGCAGAAAGCGCTGTATTGTGTCGTGTTGTAACAGCCTGATTGTAAGTAAGCTTCGATTAACTGTGTATTACGGTTATGCGAAATAATACTCGCAGCGATGGAACCAAGTTCGATGTATGCTCATAAATATCGGCCGATTCAATAGCTGGGTGTCGTTTCATTGAAATCCGACGGTATTTACACGGAGTTAAATGCATGTATCCGCAGATTCGCCTCATATACTCAGATCAAAGGAAAATATCATGTATCGTTGATTATCTTGCAGCTCTAAGAGAGAATTATTCATTATTCATAAAGAATATAACCCTCCATATAATGAATAAATCTGTGGGGAAAAATTGCATTCTTTTGGATAAAAATATTTACTCAAATAACTCTCAGCTGCCGCTTCGCTTGTGTATATTTCATTCAGTTGAATTTTTCACGTCCGATTTCTGTCAAAATGCAGCGAGGAAGCAAAAATTACTGCTATCTTGTTTACGACATCGTTATAACAAGTAGGAAACGCAAGTCGGTGCATTTGCAAGTGCACATGAAGCTCTAACGAGGCAAGTGCGCTAAGCGAGTGATTAGTGAAAGGATGCTAGGTTTTCCTGGATTAGCGGTAATTCGCAGTCGTTCGAAACAGAAGCAAGTTCAGCAATGCCGGCAACAAAGCGGCCGTGCTTCGTGCACCGTTGTCGCCGAGCAGGGGGACATTGAAATCATCAGAGCATGGAGTTCAGAGACATTACAGTTCAGAGACATTACACCCGCTACATGATGACATCTGCGTATTGTATTGTTCAAAACGACAGTTCGCGATCTTTTCATGATTGCGCACTTTCTCGTTCGCAACATGCATGTTGAAATCAAAAACGTCGAGAAGTGAATATGCCGCGAAATTTTATGCATACATTTAATACTCAACAATCCAAGCAGTAAATAAATAAGTTGTTTACTAAATTAATTTGATAAATATAAATAGACGATTGAGAAGCAATTGAGATCAACACTAATGCGTAAAGATATGTAAATATTAATAATTAATTAGATAAATTATTAATTCATTGAATATAAATTAATATTTAAAAATTAATCAAAGCTTAATAAATAGACGCACACGTTTTCCGGGAAGAAATACGAAGAATTTTTAAAGTATTTAAATTGCATTTCTTCATACAGACTTAAATGAAAGAGCAATTATGATTGAATGAAAGAATTTAAATGATAAAACATAAAATTGATTGAAAAATATCACTGTCAAGGTACGATAAAGATTAGAGAGTAATTTATTAAATCGCAGACAATATATATTTACCTCGTTGTTTTCCCGGATCATGCTCGACGATGAAGGCTGGCATAGCGGTAACCGTTTGGTAATCAGCTTCGATGACATCTTGCTCGTCGTTTTGTTTCGGTCCGAGCAACGACTGCATCGTTACATCGCCACAGCTCCTCCGGACATACTTGCTTCTGGAGATCCTCAGCAAGGTGGTGCTGCTCGGATCCTGACTGTTGTCCCGTGACATTGAAGTCCCCAACGGCTCGTCCAGGACCACAGAATTCGACGTGGATAGAGCAACATCGTCGACACTGTGACGCCTCGATTTTGACAAACGTTTAAACATCGTCTGGCTGGAAACAAAAGCGAAATTGTAATGAAATTTACAGATAATTAAGCTATTGAAAAGAGAAAGAAAGGAAGGAAGTAAAGGGAAAGAGAGAGGTAGAGAGAGAGAAAGAAAGAGAGAGAAAGAGAGAACAGAATTAACTTTTCTTGCGATCGGCCGTGAAGGCCGCTTGCTATTATTTATTTTTTTCCTCGTCAAGGTTCCCGGATTTCAGTCTCATACTCATACGGTGACGTGGTGATTTACACACGCGAGTTAAGAAAGAAGAAGGCAGGTAAAAACGGCTTTCGTGGGATGAGACGTTGTTGCATTCTACCTTCTATCCTTTACTCTCTTATCTCGTATCTCTCTTTAGACCTTCTTGTATTCTCGTCACGTTATCATTCTTGATAACCAATGGCGCCGTTATAACTTAATGTACGAAAATTACAGTTGTTATCGGTCATGCAGAATGAAAATCTAAAGTGGGAAATATACGTATATTTTGTATAATGAAAGTGTTGTATTTTGAAAGGAAGAAATACGTTTTTTAATATTAATTTCATTTAGATCGTTTTTGTTTTAGGTCAGTCTTTCTGAGCCCATCTTTCTTCAGTGATAATATTGAAAAAGATCACCGTTCTTAGCAAACCTCTAATTTTTAATATTCTAATCTTTAAAGAAAAGCATCGCATTAAGATTTCAAAGGAAATTGTAATGAAGTTATCGAAAGAATGTTGTTTTCGCGCTCCTTCTGAAATTTCGCGAAAGATTTCTCCCTTTTTAATTATTCATAATTCGTAAACCATTAATGGTGCAACGATGTGTCGGCTAATGAAAGACCGGCACCAAATTAGTCGTTGAATACTCCATCGTTGAAAAATAATGCGGTAGAAGTGGAACACATCTTATACACACCGTTGTTAGACTACACGATATTAGAGAAAGTCTCGTTGCGTATGCAGGAACTGCATGCTCGCGCATGCATTTTTGCAGTCGTCGAATATTGCACGATTTCACATAATGCGTATACCACGGCGCACGTTCGTAATGCTCACGCCGGCGCAGCATCGTCATCGGAGGCGCACGGTTCGTATTATCGCGGAAGAAGAAAGATCGACCGACATTCTTGATTTCTCCGCTATTGACAGCAAGCGCTTTCTATCGAAGCTGTCCCAGAACCTGGCGCGGACGTCATTGCGGCAAGATACGTATTAATCTGAGATTGCAACTTCCTCGTGTTGCAACTTCTATGTCAAGTGCACCGTTTTTATCCCATTTCACTTATCGTTGATTAGTCGCCACTATCCGACATTTTCTTCTTCACCTTTTCCTTACAGCATGTTTGAATTTTTGTTTTCTTTAACAGTAACATCTCGAGGAAGCACTTTCAAATATATATTAAGTGCAATTTTCCACTAACAATTGAGTTACCTGCTCACGATCCCCAGGGAATGCTTTATCATTTACCTTCTCTCTTGGTGTAACTTTACATGCCTTTCGCAGTTACGATATAATCATACATACGTTTCTTTCTATTCATCAATGGTCACGTTCGTCGGAAAATATTGAATCAAGAGGGATTTGCATTTCATAAACTACACCTTCGCGACGAGCCCTGTGTCATGTAGATGCATTAGGAGAGCTCAAGGGTATTTCCGGTGCGTGCACGCGCGATTAAATTTTCAATGCGATTATACGGTGAAGCGGAAAGAAAGAAACCCACGCGCAGCAGACGACATCGGAAACTAAGAAGCGCGAATTCTCTCAAATTGATGTTTTTTTCCTTTTGTTAAACAAAGCCGGATATTTTTGTTCGTAAAACATCACAGACAATGGCAGTAGAGGTTCAACGACCTGGCGACCGGAAGAAACAGAAAATAACATTAAAACAGTATTAGACATAAAACAAACTAGGGCTCGCGCAAAGGATTCGAATGAATTGTGTGACTGAGCTGTTCAAACAGTTGGAAGCAGAAAGCTTCAAGTTCGAATGGAACCAGCGGAATCAATCTATTTAGTCAATTCATCACACATCACACAACAGAAACTCCGATTGTTCGGGTAATTTCAACATTGTTGCGAAGCAGAAAATAAAGAATATGTCTTTCCTTTTCACATTGCATCGTTTAACTTCGCACAACCGGAACTGTCCAAGCGTATCTTCTGGGTAAGAAGATCCGAACAGTTTAAAAATTAAAGTTGAACTTGAAGATCTTAGACTGTGTGAACCGTTTGGTCAGTTGAAAATCCCGAGTGTCAGGTCGAACTGGTTCTCAGTCAGCGATATTAACTGCAAATTATGCTATCTTCGATCTTCGTGAATAACTGGGAAATACCGATCGTTTCTACCGCAAGATGTGTCCTACCCTTGACGCAATGCGAGTAGCTAACTACGTAGCAAAATCGTAAAATCATAATTTTATTTTACTCCGAAAGACAGCTCGCACTGACAATAACGTATCAATTCGTTCCAGAAGGAGTGAAGCTCCACAACGCGACCATCTCTACGTAGATTTGCTCGAGTGTCAAAGTCTCTGGCAAGAGTTAACTGGGTAAAAGGCCGTTTAATTCGAAGGACATTTTGCGTCTTGTCCGTGAACTGATCTGACTGCGCGTACGTGCGCGTGTGTGCGTCATAACGCGCGCTGATCGCCAACCTACCGCTTCACTTACCCTTGTTGCATCGCGGATATTGTGTTACGTTGTATACGCACAAGCGAGTAACGAGAGGCCAAGGGAAAGGTATCGAATGTTGCGTGGCATAAGGGCAACGTTGGCCGAAGGGGTAGTTCTCGTTTTTTCGGAAGGGCGCGGCCCTCGATGAATATCGACTATCTTAACTCGAATATCTCCCCCTCTCTTTCTTCCTCTCTCTCTCGTCGATACGACTGTTGCGCTGATAAAATGAAAAAGCGGCAGAAATTGTTTATTGTCCCAATATAAGCACGAAAGTGAATCGTTACGAGTGAATTGCCGTTTTATTATCGCATCTACGATACGAAAGTCCCGCAATTGCAGATAAGAAGCCAAGATTTCAAGAGCGTAAAGATATAACGGAGCCTCGTTTTCCAATAAATTTTCCCAACCAGACTCGAGCTTAATTGGCGAGATATTTAACGTCGAAGAGGAGCGAATAATGATTTCTCGTAGGATTCAGGGAGATAAAATGAGCGCAAGAGAGAAAGGGAGATAGAAATTTATAACTTTAAAGTTATCGTAGCATCTGCGATCGGAAAGTTATTCCAAGGTTTACGGACACCTGGCGCTGGTATTCATATATACACGTGTAAAAAGCGTTTATGACATCTACCTTAAAAAACGTTTTATGTTGCACTAATCGTAAAGCCGAGTTTCAATTATGTACTAGCGTATACGTGATTAAAGTCCCAAGTTCTGGATTACTGCTGCATTAAGTCTGTCAATTTATTGCACCTGGCTCCGGTGCGCACGTGCGCCGTAGAAAAAAAAAATCGTGTGTGTTTCAATTATGTAAACGCAATTTTAATCATCTTCGAGAGTGTTTCGTAAATTACCAGGACGTGTCGAATTATTCGCAGGAATCTCGTTCTCAAGTCCCGCCACGAGTCATGGATCGTCTGAAGTGGACTTAGGGGACACACGTGAGCACTAAGCGTGAAATATTTATGACAGAAGATAAGGGGTATATTTCGCGTCATTATCACCGTCCACGGGCGAATGTCTTCCGTCTCTTCAGCTTCCGCTTTTTACGGCGCATCTGGATGCGCTCAGCGTAACGTCAGTGCGTGCGGTGCACCGCGGTGGATATAATCGTATAAGGTAGAGGGTAGTCGACGCCTTAGATGGTTTCAAATACAGCGGCAGCGGCAGCAAGCCAGACTCACTCGGTGAGTGCAACTTGGCCCGTCTAGGCAAAAACTAGGATAGGCCTAGATGGCTCTTCGTAGCTCGGCTGAGATGGCCAACGACGGCCATGGAGAAAAACGCAGCAGCGGTTACGTGGCGTAGGGAGGAGAGACGAGGCCCTACGTGTACGTACCTACGCATGTACGCACGTACACTTTCCTAATGTGATGAGCGTTCGAATCACCGTCTGGAGAATTTTCAAACAGTTTGTTACCTACGAAGATTCGTGTCGCTTCGATGATTATTTGAAACTGAAAGTTTCACAGAATTTTGAAAAAAATTCCGAATGCTTTGACAGTAGACAGATGTATGCGCGATATCTTACAAGGCTATGTTTATACAATTAAACGGACGAGATAATATAGGTGAACGCAAAAGTGGACTCAATAAATATATTAGATCGGTCAAGAGGTCTTTTTATTTTTAAAGAAATTCAAAGACAAGTTTTGCAGATAATTCAATTCACTTTTTGTGTCATACGTAAAGTTTGATTTTGAATTTTCATTAAAATGTATTTTATACCAGATATATCTGCTTATTTTATAAAAAAATAAATAATCATTTACTTATGGCTATAGATATGTAGAGGATAATAAAAGAGGAACATATAAATACATATGAGTTGAGCGATAGTTAACCACATTCTGATTATCAAGATTTTCGACACATTCAAGATTTTTTAAATATTTGAGACCCCCTCGTGATCTATAAAAATTTCTGTGCGTGTGTGGGGGTACATGTGCTCCAAACAATATTCGGGAAAACTTGAGACGCTCGTCATATATTCGAGGTGATTCGATGTGCTTGAGCCCATCACTACAAGCGCGTATACGCACGCACGACGTTACTGAAGAAAGAAGCTGGAGAAGAGAGAAGCGCGCGAGAGAGAGAGAGAGAGAGAGACGTGGCTAAGCCTTGGAAGGAGAGACGCGGGAGAAGCAAATACTGCCGGGATAGGTATATTCAGCGTAGTCGACCGGACAGTGCACTGAACTTGGCAAGAAATCCAAGGTTGCACGGCTTAATGATCTAGTTTCTTCGACGAAGATATGATTCACCATTATGCATTCACTCGTCGTGCCGCATGTCCGTTCCCGCAACGCGTGTGCGCGATACCATCCGGGACCTTTCGCGATA